GGGTTTGTGCTGATCAGCGTGCTGGAGGTTGTGCGGCTGCAAACCTGGGGCCAAGGGCTTTCCAGTTGCTTGAAATGCTGCACCGGCTCTTTAGGCTGGCAGCCCGCGAGGCCCAGGTGGCTGGCGGGAAGGACAGACTGCATCTTCGTCAGAAAAGACTCACAGACAAGTGGAGACTCCAAATCTGTCTAGGGGCAGAATTCTGTTTCAAAATGAAGAAGGTGGACCTCCACAAGAGCTGTCGCCTATCATGGGCCTCCAACTCCCAAAAGATCCAAGACAGACGACAAAGGTGCCAGCTGAGGTAACACAAAATTCAAACGCACAGGAATGACCAAGTATACAGCGGTGTTGACACCTTCTTGGTCTGTGGCAGCAGGGCGAATGGATGACGCACTGAGGTTAGGTGATCACAGATAGCGCCACAATTCCTCCACTACCATGATTCCCAAATGACAGTAATTAATTCAGATTCCATTTGTTGCCAGTTATGGACAAACTGGTCCTCTGCACATTGTTGCGTTGCATTTATGGACTCGAATCTGGCCTTAAATCAGTTATTGCAAAGGCTCCCTGTAACTTTTCATGGTCAACTAGTCAACTGAGCTTATTTGTACCATCATCCGTGTTTCCAAGAACACAGTGAATATGCTGGAAAACTAGGTCCCCAGCACAGATCATGGGACTCTGTTGATACAAAGTTCTTTCCCTTGCAAGCCTGACTGCAGATACCTTATGCTTATGTTCCTTTCTATTCCAAGTAGTAAGTTTACCCCTTAAAATAAGGAGTTATGGGATGAGGCCTTGCTGAAGGGTTTCATCAGAAGTTTTCAAAAATACATTACGTGACCGTATCACCCATTTTTATTCATTCTCTCCTGTGAGATCTGATCTTCCTCTTAAAAAAAAAAAAAAAAAAAAAAATTCTGCAACATCTCTTCTCCAGTCCATCACTTACCCTCATGCATAATTGTTCTCTGTTGTATTTTTCTTTTCTCAAGTCTGTAAGTCAAACTTGCTCATTTGTAATGTTTGCTACTTTAAAAAAAAAAAACAAACAAACAAAAAAACAAACCACCAAACAAAACCAAAAAACCAAACCCAAACATTTAGCAACTGTGTTATCTTCCATTGAATGGATATGGGAGTGATAGATAGTGACTTGTTACAGGCATTTTATCTCTTTCTTCCAAAAAAGCATCTCCTCTGACATTTCACTTGGAGACAGATCTTCAGACTTGTTCCCATAAAGACAGCTGTGTTGTACAACTTCTCTAAAGGGAACACAAGGGATTAACCTAAGTTTGGGCTGGGGAAGGGAGACTGGAGAGTGATTTTATGTGGACTTGAAGAGAATCTTCAAATGTTGTGGGTGTTTTTCTTTTTATGCCATGGTCAAATGTTAACCCCATTGGCTTCCTGCTTAAGATGCATTTTGGTGAAAATAAAGCCCCTTCAGCACCTTTTCTGCATTAAGCAAGTCAAAATGCCTTTTTACAACCAATAACATTTCCTGCATACTGCTGAAGACCGAAGAGAGAAATCTCTGAGTTGTCCGATTACTTGAACCAAAAACCAGATGTTTGCGTTGCCAAAACTTCTGCCTCAGAGCACACGTGTGTGTCATTTGTTTGGGCCCAATGCCACATGTCACCAACAGCACGCCACCACGTTATTTCTGCTCCCTCTCCCTCCCTGTAATAAGCTTTCAAAGCCAGTTTCCAGTCGACCTCAATTGGTTTATTTTAGTTTTACACTTTGTCCCTCACATACAGTCATTTAAGAGTCCTGTACTGTTAGATTTCTACAAAAATATCAATTTTTCAAAAGCAGAAAAGAGGGAAAGATATATTTTAATATAGAAAAGGAAAAAAGCTAAATCTGACATTTCATTATATTCTTAAAAACATTCCAGTCTATTTACAGATGCGTAAAAAACAAAGAAAATCTCCAGGTCTCTTGGTCTAGTGAGAACGTGCGCGTTGCAGGGGTTTCCTTTGTCCTCCTGATTCTAAAACCTTTTCATTACATGTCATATTCTTGCACTATTGCCTCAAAAAGACAGCATATATAATCTTTAAAAGGTTTGTTCCAAACCAATGGGAGCTTGAGGGAAGAGCAAAAAAAGAGAGTCAGCATTTCAATTCATAGCAAAATATTAAGCTGCAGAAATGAGATGGTGGAACAAGGAGAGAAAAAACTAAGAGCATTTCAAACATGCTTTGTTGTCTGGTAGAACCTTCTTGGAACTGCACCAACTACCACTTTTTGCAGCCAAATTTGGGGCTGTTCTTAGTTAATTTAGTAATCATGTTCAGGAACCAACAATTTTTGCTGTCATCTTTACACAGTACATTTTTACTGCAGTAAAATTCCTTACTGCCCAGTGCAGTAAATACATTCAGGCATTTTCCATTACCTTGATAATGGACAAAACATCCTCAAAAGTACAGCATTCATTTTAGATAATATTTGAATAGTTTTCATGTTACAGCTTTTTCTGTCCCACAGAAGTGTGGAAAGCACACATATTTTTAAAACGTATTCAGATATGATTAGCACACAATCTATAATTAAAATTAGCCATTTGGAACCATAAAAGGATGGGGTGCAGAAAGAAAGGTCAGCAATTAGGAATTTGAAAGGAATCGCAGCACAGTTCTAGTTGCTGTTTCACACATAGGACGAATGAAATCTACTGGCAAAACAAACTGCCATAGGTAAAAAAATAAGCAACTTCAGCCTCTTAGAAATGCTCAGGACCAGATTCCCAGGTAAATAAATTTAAGTCTGATGTAATGCTACTAAACTAATTTAGTTACTCCAGATTTCTACTGGTTTAAAATAAGGTTAAAATCCTTTAATGATAAGCAACGTATGTCTAAATACTTATTCATATTGTAAATTCCCTTTTCTAAGGCGTTCAGTGACAACTTGAAGACCCTGCGTGACTCTCATGTTGACCTATACTCTCTTTTCCAAATCACTAATACAGGACTTGTATCAAATATTAAAATAACAAATATGCAAAATGCAATAAAGACTTATATGTAACTGCTTTAAAACGCACCATTTGGCATGGCCAGGTAAAGAACCTTTTTTATGTAGGCTCTAGAGTAACTTTACGCACACCGAGCTTGAAGGGCTTCTCTCCTCTGCAGCATAATATAAAATCACAAAAAAGACGAGGAAACACCCAAGGTACGTGTATCCCCTGGTGGGTCTAACCTAGGCACAGATCCAGAAGACGCAGCTTACTGAACAGTGTGCACGGTTGCACTGTGTACAAACACTGCTCCCTAACTGTGGAAGAACATCACTCTCAACACCTGCACAATCTCAGTGCTGCAAAGATGAAATTCCTGCATTACTGCATCACCAACGATGGGGAATTTCGGGGCGGGGGGCGGAATCCCAGCTGCTGTTGCTGGAACAGCAAGATAGAGGATTACATTCCTAAACATAAAGAAAAATGCACCACCAAATTTTGTATTACCTTCATGGCAATGTTTTTTTACCTTTTCGGAGCAGTTAAGAAGCCCCTCAAGCGCACCATAACTCATATTTAGAAACTTGATAGGAAAAGATTGTGTATACACTCATTAACAAATCATCTCTCCTAGGCTGAAAATTTAATTTGTCAAGAAAACTACGAAAACAAAAATTGTGTACAAAAATATAAATATCTTTACAGTCTGTAGGCCCTTCACATCCAACAGCTGAACAGTGAAGAATATCTACAGGTTATTGAGTAAGCAGTGGCAGAGAAGAATAAAAAATACATCTTGTGATTCAATACTGCCCTATTTCCCTGGTAATGAGCATTTTTCTTGACTTTTTTTGCTATACAGCTTGTGCAAATGCAGTGAGAAACCTCTGAGTACCTTTCCTGAATTCATAAAGAAATGGAAGGTTTGGAAAGATATACACATATTTTCATATATACAGTCACATATACACCTCGCTCATTTATGCTAGGCTACAACAGTCCTGAAAACGTTCTGTATTTTTATGAAGCAACACTTCCTATTAACATTCCTAGACACCAAATACATCTTGAAGAATGACAGGAGGAAAGAAAACAAGAACTGGGAAAACACTCAAGCTACTTCAGCAATGTATTTAAAGATGTAGCAATAGGGTGCCCAAATTTCTTTCTACTCTCGGTAACTTTTCCTTCTAGATGCCCTAAGCATCAAAGGAGGGAATATTTTTATAGGGGCAGGAGGTGAAAGTGAGGGGTTTTTTTGTTTTTAGTAGTTTTATTAAAGTTAACATACTGTCCTACTTCTAATTACACTGGGAAATACAATTTTCTTCCCTATGTAGTGAGAGCTGTAGATGTTTATTAAAATCTTCTGCGCATAAGCTCCTAAAAAGAGTCTCTGCCAGAGAGCTATCTAGCACCAAAGAACAAAAACTTTTCACTTCAACCCTCTGCACAGTCTCAGATTTTCCTTCCACTGCTCTACATAACAAGTTTGAGAGTAACTGCAATCTCATTTCTGCACATTCATCATATTCTGCAAACATTAAAAACAGCAAATGCGAACAACCCCATTTCTGCATAGATAATTTGCCTGGTACAAAAACAAGTAATCCAAATTTCTTCCCCAACAAGATAGCTGCCTCCCTACGGGGTGGGGGGTGGGAGGGAGGAATCTCTTTCAATAGCCTCGGTTTCTCAGTCCTTTGACAAACTATTTCTGTGAAGGACGCAATTTTGGAAGGATACCATGTGTCCAGCAATGGTTATAGATAGTCTTCCTTGTTTTGTGAAGGGGAAGGAGAACACCCAGAATACAACAGTGAGGTAAAAATAGGTCAACATGCTTAAAGTTTCATAGCACTTATTTCTCAATGTGGGGCCTGCCCTCAGATGAAGAGAGTGCTGACACTGTACAGAAAACGAGTGTTGCAGACAAGGGAGGTTGCTGAACTCCGACACTGGTTCACCGCTCCAGAACTCCATTCCAGGGTCTGATAAAAAATATACGCATTTATTTACCTGCTGAATTTGAAGGCAAGGTCCCAGTAGTACTCAATTTCGTAACCACAGGTGCTAACATGGGCATCACTTTGTTATCCTGTCCTTCTTGAACAGTTGCGGGTAATGAAGTTTTTACCCCACTGGGAGCCAGTTTTGCAACTACAGGTGCCAATAAGGGCATCACTTTATTACTCTGCCCTTCTGAGTCCACTGGCAGACTTGCCACTTTTAAGCCAAGTGGTGCCAGCTTGGGCATGGGCCTCCACAAAGTGTCAGCATTACTAGCTTCTGGGTTAGTTTTCATCTGCAAAACTGGTGGAGTCACATTAGCAGTCTCTGCCAAGGCTGTTACAGTTTTGCCATTCCCACCACTGGTTACGGACAGATTGGGAAGGGGATCCTTCATTTCAGCACCTATTACTATCTTTAAAACATCTGCTTCAGACGAAGGCTCCCCAGAGTTCTTGTCCCCATCAGTAAGGTCATCATCTTCCAGGTGCAGCAGGAGAGGGCTTATAGAGCCACCCCCCTCGGGAACTTCAGAAAGGTCCTTAAAACTACTTCCCAAATGGCCAAACTGGAAGGAAGACCCATCTGCAGCAGTGAGATCACTGGCTGTTCCCCGACGAGCTTCTGCATCTTCATGAGAGAAATCTGAGTTTAGAGTGCTGGGCAGTTCTGACATAGCTGAAGCATCATCGTTCAGCTGCTGATTGAGGAAGGCAATCTCATTGAGCAGTGAAGTGAGGGTTTCATCAGTGTCATCGCTCTCCTCAATGCCACTCAGTAACTCACCAGCATCCAGTTCCGCTTCCTCCATTGCGGACGCTACTTTCCTCAATTCCATTTCTATCCTGGAATCTTTGATCTGCAGCTTGCGGAATGGCAATTCTTTAGGTTTTAATCTTTCCCCTCCAGGATCACTGTCTTTCCTCCTGGCTTGGCTTCCTACAAACTCACCAATGCAGAGCTTTTTGCTAAAGGACTCTGGAGGTTCCTTTGTACACGATACGTTCCGGAGCTGTGGAAAGCCATCTTTATTTTCAAAGAAAACTTTTGTGGGACCTGTGGTATTTCTGCCGTCTCCGCCACTGTCTCCAGGACATGGTTTGGCTTTTTCTTCTGAAAGGACACTATCGTTCTTCCTACTTTCAAGGGGTGCTACAACCAAGGATTTCTCAGAAGCCTGAGCACCTGCAGCTGCTGTTCTATTAGAATTTTTGTTTCTGTTCAGGTTTAGACTCATGCTTCCCTCAGCAGCCAATGATGTTACGTTAACAATCTTTGGCATCATGAATGAATCTTCGCTTTCTGCAAAACCAAACAAAGCAGCGTCCATCAGGATCCAAGCTAACTGCAAGATAATTCCTAATTAAATATAATTTGCTCACTTTCAGGTCTTCCTCAAGCAAGCTGCTATTCACAATTTAAACCACTTACAGAGTTTTGGTCAAGTGAAACCTTAAAACACTAACACCTTAACTTTCAATCTGTAGAAAAAGAGCAAGCCCCACATCTATTATCCCAGAACCACTTGCCCAGTCCCTTCCTTCAGCAGGCTGGCACAAAAGCAAGTAACTGTAATGCTTATAATTCTGATGGTGATGCACAAGGAAAACAGAACAAGAATTTTCTCCCTTGCTGTTTTTTCATGCTTTACTTTTATGCTCATATTTTGCAATACTGGTTTTGTGCACAAATACTACAGAGGCATTTCAGGGACTATGCGACTACTTACTTTTTGCCTCCAAGGAGTTTCCTATTTATAGCACTCAGATTTTTCCCAGCCCCAAATCTGAAGTGAACTTTCCTTTTTCGTTATGACCACATGGCTAAAATGAAGCAGAAAGTAAGCAGCTTGCTTTTAACACAACAGACGGCAAGCAGCACGCTATTGGCAGGAACCACCCCACGCCTAGACCCAATGTACAGTACTCAGTCTCAAAACATCTCTCCAACGGGCAGCAGAGGTGGCAGGGTATGGGAAGGGGTTGTGCCAGAGTAAGAGCCTGGATGTAACAGGCGAAGATTTTCAACAGCCTTACCACCATTTTGCACTATGGCTTCCCTAGCAGGTTGCCTTACACCACAGACACATTCTAGTCCCCACTTACTCTGATTTTGCTGAGGGCAGGGAAGATCAGTGAGGTAAAGGAAAGTTAAAAAGCTCTCATCTGTAATCGCCTAGAGGCCTGTCTAAACTGTTCAAAACATTGAAGGTAAATGTTCCCTGCATGCAGGCAAGAAGATCCATAAAAAACAAAGAGCCTACCTGAATGGGGCTCTGTAGCTGATACTACTGTTGAGGGCACTGGGTTTCCAGCAACAGTTGACAGCGTAATGGGAATGGTAGAGTTAGTTAGGATTCCTTTTACTTGGACAGGAACTGTTGATCCTGGCAGCTGTATCATCACAGAAGCAATACCTTGTATCCAAGAAAAGGGGAAGGGAGGGTGAGGTGGAAACAAGAGCCTTTCAGATACTCAGTCAAGCCTGGAAAATAAGAGCCTTGCACTTCTAGGCAAGACTTTACACTGCAATACCATCTGAAAGTGGTAAAAATAGAAATATAGATTGGTTAGGTGATTAAGAAATCTTCCCTACGTTTCCCTAATTTGGGAATAGTGAAAATTTAGCGGATTTTACTTACCTGTTGATAAACTGACAGTTTGAGTTAATTATATCAAATCTCTCAGAGTTAGGTTCTACCTCAGTTAAGTTGTAAAAAACCAAAAAACTAAAGCAAAAATTAAACATGTTTGTTAACTGCTATGCACATGTATGAACAGCATCATACTGGTTTTCATTAACATATTCTCACATGGTCATACCTGGCTGCGCTGTCATGGTAGTACTGACAGCTCGAGGCTTTAATTCAGCTTGCAATAGTGTGGAAGGAACAGCTGCTACTTGCCCTGGTACCAGTGGGCTCTTCAGTGTAAGCACCTGCCCCTGTGGAGTCATCACTAGGCTTGCAGCAGTTAGTGTGAGAGAAGATGAGGTGTCCTCTGTAAAAAAGAAATATGTAAGTCAGTAATTTATTCTGGCACAGCACCCTTGATGGCAAATGATATCCTGCGATCCAGTGTTAAGTGCACACGTGGAAGGAACTCCAGCTGAGAGGTTCACAAGCCCTAGATTAGAAAGCTCCTACAGAAGCTATGCAGGCTCCAGGAACCTCACCTACAAAGCTAGAGCCAGTCTGTACTATCTCTTCGGGCAGTGTAACATAATCCTAACTCTCCACCAGTGGCATCCTGGTCAAATACCAGAGCAGTCTTGCTGAAATTACAAAGGGGACTTGTTCAGTCCAAAGAAAGAAAGAAGTTCTCTCACCACATCCAAATTCTGATGCCAAACTTCCTGAGGACTGGACAAAAATGAGGCTTGGGAAACCAGAATGATCGGTTGTTTATAAAAGCTCAAGACCACTTCAAGTAAGATCCATTTATTATTACCAAAATAAGAAACATCACCAGATCCTTACAACAAGGTATTATAGCGGTACTACCATGAAAGTTTGGACTTCTGCCGTTCTTACGTTCCTTCCTACATTTATGGTGGGAAAGTCTCCATAAATGCCAAATACTTCTCCGCAAGTTCTCAGCTCAAAAAAAATTTTCAACTGTCTGACAATGCTGTCATTTAATTCAAGAGCAAGTCTTCCACCACCTCGAGATCTAACTTGTTTGGGAAGGGATATTTTAAAAACTGAATCTGTTCTAGTACCTCCAGTATTCTGGGGGTTGAGCTTCAGGTTTTGAGTCGGCAGAACAAGAACCACCTTTGCCTCTCAGAAATCACTGCAGGATTGCTGTGAAACTCCGTGAGACTGAAAGGCAACTTCCCATCATTCTGAAACTCAAAAGTCACGTTCATCTGAAGACCTCAGTACTGCTGTTCTCATACTTACTGAAAACACATGGTTTCCACAGCTATTGGATGGACACTTCCTGGTCCTATACTCAATTCTGCTTCAAGAAAGAAGTTGCCTGCGCAAGCAGGTTAGCACTCCCCTGGGGTGCTGCTTCAATGTCTGTCTCCCCTTTATGTGAAACGTGCATCACTTTTAGCTCACCTGTGGCACGGCTTCCTTTTCTGGCGAGTATCAATGGTTTGCCTCTTCTATTTGTCATAGCCATTTGGGCCAGGTCTCTGGAGGGAGCAGAAGATCCTTCTTGCTGTGTGCTAGCAGTTGAAGTTACAACAGGTTCCTCTGGCTCAGCTTGCTTCTTCTTCTTTTGTGCTTCTACTGCTTTTTGTTTGGCATAAATGTATTCTAGCTTCTTCAGGACAACCTCTTCTGTCTTCCCTACAGAAAAATTACAGAGTCAACCTATCTTCAAACCCTCTTTCCAAAAGTAAAGAGCTGAAGACAGAAATAAAAATCTATTAAGTTGACACCATTCAACTATACAATAGATAACCACCACCCCTACCAAGTAAATAGCACACTTATTAAGAGGGAAGTAATTACCTATTTATTCCAAGACTTTTTTTCTTTCAGAAACATCCACAGAAATTTCAGAATTTATCTCCAACTTTGATGAGCAGAGATCAGCTTGGACAAACACTAGCTTTCACTGAACAAGTACCATTTGAAAATATCCACAGCTGTGCAAAAACCTCCCATCTTTCCTAATGATAAATGTATGACTACCAGACAAAACGTTACCTTTACCTGGTATGAAAATTCTTGGACTAATGGACCCTGTTACTCAAACGACATTTAGAGGTAAACTCGCATACAGTTTACCATTGATGTGAAAATTGTAACCTTGAACAAAGATTTTATAAATAATTTGTTTTCTGCAGATCAAAGTTGAAATAACTATACTGGCTCATTTCCTGCTTAGTATTTACATTCTAACATCATGGTCTATCTTTAATTAAGTCTATATTTAACTAACTCTCCTGAGAGGGGTTTTTTTCCTCATCAGTTTTGAGGTACTGCACTAGGAATGCAAAAGATCAGAAAACTACTTTGTGAAGTTATTTGCTTTCATTCCCTGCCCAAAAGGCCTATCATACATTTCTGGATTAAGATGCAGGTTCACTAAAACACTTTTTCTTTTAAAACCGAGTACCTCAAATATATATGAACTGTTTCACATAAATACACAAGATTTAAGCATCTTTCATTTTTAATTTACAGGTAGTCTCCTGTTTTTATTCCCAGACAGTAAGAAGATTACAAGAATAATTTAATGTTTTGTTTGTTCACACACATTTTGGCACTGGCTGACCACACGTCACAGCTTTCCTACACCTCCAAATGAGACAGAAAGACACAATAAATACGACACAGTTTTGCCTTGAAATGCCTAGATTAGTAGCAGCTCAGAATATACTGCAATTTTGTTCTATAGACAGAGATGCCTTCTTCTAGACACTACTAGCACTAGTTCTCAGAAAAGCAGTACAAGGATAGTTATTTGCGAAGCTGACCAATGAAGTCAGAGGTTTTGGTACTGATCAAAGACAGCTGTGTATACTTGTGAAGCACTGAGCAGAGAAGCCATTTCAAGAAGTGACCAATGACAGAATGAAGTGACCCACCCCCCTACCCCCCCTCCCAAAGCATACCCAATGCACAGGAACCCAAGCCTGTGGCTTGCAGCACAGAGATCATTCTACACTTCCTTTAGGCATGAAGGAAAATAAAAGCAGTTCTTACCAGCACGATGAGTGTATCGCTGAGTCAGAGCTTAGCAGGTCTTTGTTTGGCGTCAAGAGTCTGTATTTTATGTGAACTAATGACTCACCCACATCCACAGAGGATTACTCCACTCATTCCCATTCTTAAAAGCCTTTTCTTTCATTATTCCAGCTAGTCTGTATCCAAAAAACTGTCTCACCTGAAAGCGTGGATACTTTTCGAATCAAAACATCCTGTTTGCGTGTCAGTAAGTTCTTCTGTCCAATAAGTTTATCTGCCTGATCAGTCAATCCTTGGATTTCTTCATAGGCCTAGAAAAGTGTCAGGGAACTGATTTATTAAACAATGATACACAAAAAAATAAAATACTTTTCCTTCCCAGAAACCTTTACAAAATTTATTCAGACATTTTCATCACCTTGAGAAACCAGGACTCAGAGAAAGCACATGAAGTACCACGTAATGCCAGCTTTCACTACAT